GATGACAGTGCCCGCTCATTCGTCTGAGGCATTTCAACTTCAAAGCAGTCAATGTTCTAGGTAAATCACTGGTTGTGTCAGATGCACTATCATGCCTTCCACTCAGAGAATGTAGCACCTCAGATACAGAAGTGATGGCCCAGGCTTATGAGGACTTCATGCTCAACACCAGGCCAGCACTACAAGCTCTGGTACAAACATTTCCCTTGTGAAATACTTCCTTATAACTGAAACATGTGTCCTGCGCAAGATATTAACTACTATTGTGTGGGGGACAGGATTGTGGTTCCCTCATGAAGTACACCTAGGTCTGGAGAAATGCAGTGACGAGGCAACTCCAGGACAGAAGCTGGTGGGCAAGAAGGGAACTGAGTCTGGGCACCTAGCCCGACTAGTATGTCCCTGTCTCCCCTTACAGGAAATGAAGAACTGGCCTGACCCCCTACTGAACCTCCACCAGTGCCATAGAAGGCACCCTTGGGTGGAGGCAGGAGCCCAGAATGTGGGACTCAGGTCCAGGGGTACAGGGGCAAAGTCAGAATGAGTGGGCCCCTGTGGGTCAGACTCAGGAGACTTGGGCAGTGCCACAGAGTCAGAACCACCCCTTCTGGGCCAGCCCAATAGTCTTCTGTTCATGGCCTCTCTCAGGGGCTTAGCACCACTTGGAATGGGTGGTGGCGGGCTCCCCAGGGCAGGACACTGGAGATGCGGCTGGCTCCCCAGGGCAGGACACGAGCGAGCCTGAACAGAGACCAGAACTTGAGGTGGGGCAGGTGTTCCAGAGCCTTCGGATCGTCTGTTTAAGTCAGTCATTCTGTCATGGCAGAGGGCATGGTCCAAGCAAACAAAAGAAGGCGACGATCCACTAGCGGCTCCAAGAGATAACAGGGGTTTACTGAGGAAACTAAACATACAAAAGGAAACAGCGCAGAGTAGCGTAACAACACTTACAGTAATACAATGACTGAATGGAGGACAATGCAGGGCAAGCACTGAAAACTGGGGCAAACAAGAAAAGAGGTGTAAGACAATCAATTAACCAATGAACAAACACTAGCACAAGGAGACGTTCAACAGGTAGAACTAATAACAACTAAAAGGCACAGAAACTAAGAAACCTACAAGCTGTACTCAATTCTTCCCAGTAAAACACCCCACGATAGCACTAATGCAGAACTTCTGCAGATGACATGCCCACAAATTGTACTTGTCAGTGGAACAAGGACAGTTCCTTGTGGGGCACCTGTGCTACTCATCATATGCTCAGACACAGTTCTGTATTCATACAAACTGACCTGCGGGTGAGGTAGATGATAATCCAGGTCACCAGGAAGTCATCCATTTGGCTTGCCCTCAGCTTCTGTCTGTCCTGCAGGTTGAGTGGTGTTAAAAGTACGGAAGATGTCAAAGAACATGATCCTCACAGGGCTCCCCGCCTTCTCTAGGAGAGAGTAGACTCCATGCAGCAGGTAGATGATCTTGTCTTCACCTTTCAGCTGTGACCAATAGGCAAACTCTAGAGGGGCCAATGTAGTGCCCACCATGGTTTTGAAGTGGAGCAGGACAAGACTCTCCAGGGTCTTCATCAGATATAATATCAGTGCCTGTAAAGCCAGTGGTTTCAAAGGCAAGGAGGATGCAGATGCAAGGTCAAGTTCAGGTCAGGTTGGGAAGCATGCACTGGTGCAGTGCGTTGCTGCACCCACCACACACCGAAACACCCTGGGATCCTGGTTGGCAACCCCCCAGCCTGACACATGGTCCAGTCCCACCCTCCAGAAACGGATGTCTGTCTGCTACACCCAGGTGTTACATAGGCATCCCCTTGGCCTGGTCCAGCTGCTCGGGTCCTCAGCAATGAGGATCCTACAAGCCAGATCACCCTCAGGGAATCGCACCACATGGCCATAGTGCCATAACTGACATCGCTGCCAAGGTAAGTGAACCTCTCGACGTGGTCAACATTCTCTCCGTAGTTTCTGAAATACTCATACCAACTTGTTTGGCACTAACAACTGCATGCACATTCAAAGTCACTTAAATCGCCTTTCTTCTCCACTCTGGTGTTTGATTTGAACATTACCTGAAGCTCCTGACCTGTATCTGCATAATCCAGAAGGTCTGGCAAGAATATGACATCAGTATTGTGAGACGATGTGATTTTTATGTGGGTGAGAGAACACATGCTGAGTCATGGAGAGTTCAAGTAATTAAGAAAAGACCATCTCCATGTCATTTATAAAGTTCCTTTCTCTTGACATTTGGTAAGCCCACTTTTTGGAATGCCTTTTTGGTCTTTTGTTTGCTTTCACACAACCATCTATCGCCATCTAGTGGAAATATGGGATTTGAATTTCTCAGGGGGTGAATAGCTTATTCTGCTATTTACTGTATATTTATGTCATACTCCACTTAAGAATTAATGACAGCCTTCATTAAAACTAGCAAAAGACAACAGTGTCAAATAAGCAATAAATATGATTCAAATGTTATGCTCAAGTAGTTCGGGAAGCCTTGTTACAGTTTTTCTGAATTGCTAAAACACTAAACCCCACTCTTGGAACAAAACAATTGTCAAAACTCATTTATGAAATCTGTCACTCATTTGGCGAGACTATACACAATGCTCACCTAATTAGGCATGATTTTCAGATCTGAGTGACCCTTTTTGCAAAACTCAAAACATTCTCATTCATCAAAAGACATTTTGCACCTTGACACAGGCTGCCGAAGTTAATCACAGCCAGCACACAAAAGTAATCATTTAAACACAATGACTCAGAGTTGCTCACACATGTTTCTAAACAAGTGAGGAAACAAATGTGTGACTGCAATACAGAATACATGTTGGATGAGAGCGCCATATGTGAGTTGACGTCAAGGTATGGATGGGTCCCAATAGAGGATTCTTCCCCTGTTGCCTAGGGAGAGCACTGTCTGTGGTGTCGACAGAGTTTTCTGTCCTGACACAGCCCTGAGACATGATGATTAAGCAGAATGAATATTTTCCTTGACTTTGGCTTGGCAATTGTACAACATTCTACTATAATGTGCCTTACATTTGGATATTTTTGCTTTGTCCCTTACAGTAACTTTTTTGTAGTACTGAATACTGCAAATATTCATTTTTTCTGCTGAACAACATTTTTTTTTACTATACTTATTTGGTTTCCAGTTCTGCAACTCAACTCGCAAAAGACCTTACCTGTCATGACGGAGATTGCGGAAGCAGGAACAGGGAGACGAGGGATCAGAAACGACAGATTTATTAGTAATCAATCCTAATATATGACAACGAAACGTAACGTCAATGACTGGACTGGGAAAACATACTCAAAGGCGGACTGAAATACACAAGACTAATGGCAGGAAACGTAGAACAGCTGGTAACATAGGGATTCCACATGAAATTAACGAGGGGGCGTGGCACACAGGAGGATTGGCAATCGGGCATGACATTACCCATGTTTTTCTACTTGCCAGGAACAGTTTTGTTTTTTCAGTTTTTTGATTGTTTGATTTTGTAAGACAAATCAAAGGTTTCATGAATGTAATTTCAAAAATGGGAGCTTTTTTACCATACTGTTTGATGGAAGGTTTCAGGAAACGTGCTTTAGCATTTTAGAAAAACTGTAACTTTGTTGTCAAATACAAAACAATTTAGTACAATTTACATTTCATTGACAAATTAATCTTCATTTATATTGTAATCCAGTGCTTTAATCTGATGCTATTTGCAGCAAATTGACAATAAGATAGCTTGTGCTGATGACATATATATTTGAATAATTAGTAATATTAACACAGTAATAAAAATCATAACAACAGTAGCAACCATGAATTGAAATTACAGCTGATGGCAGGGAGCCAGCTTCAGTTTAATTTCCCAAATTCAGTGTTGCATTTACTTTGCTCCAAAATTTTGGCATGACATTACATTCTTATGAGAACACACCCTTTTTAATTTGCTCAGATTTGATTATATAGGACTTTTTCTTCTTGTTCTCGGTTGTACATACGGACCGATATTTTTTGTGTATTCATGTGTTAAAGATTTTTCAGTGTATTAAGGAGTTGGATCATTCTTCATTTGGAGTGGGAAGTGGATACATTTCGTAAAACAATATTGAGGAGACCCAAATGCGCAGTTCTGGATTGTATTGATTACATTGGCAATTAGACATTGGAAATGCTGAGCGAAGATCGAAATCCAAGTATCTGCTGCAGAGAGTTTGGATGCCAGAGAAGTCAGTCCCACAGCGAGACATGACAGGTAAATTAATTGGGTTTGAGGTCGAAACAGGGAAGCAGAGCCAGGAATGGCGCAATATCGGAGAAGCGGGAGACTTCGAGAGACGCTGCTCGGCATGCATTATAGATATGGCAATACTTTGCACCGAAACGCTATCTCACTATGCCTTAAGTAGGAACAAACACAGGTGGATCATCTGATTGTACGTAAACCATGACAGAACTCTCCCCCCAAACAGCCACCTCCTGGAGGCCATACAGTGCACCAGGGACAACCACGGGGACGTGGAGCTGGCCTGGAAGGGTGAACACAAAGAAGGTCCACCACCAGGTCGGGGTCAAGGACGTCTGAAGCAGGAGCCCAAGACCGTTCTTTTGGGCTGAATCCCTCCCATTCCACAAGGTATTGCAGATGCCCGTGTCAGCGTCGGGAGTCAGGCAGAGCTTGGACAACATGGGCCTCTCCAACTGGTAAAAGAACTGGTGTAGGTGGAATTGCATTCTTAGAGGCTGGGAAAGTGACGCTACATTTCACCATTTTCAGCAATGATACCTGAAAAGTGAGGGAGATACAACACACTAGGCAGCTGTAGTTTATAGGTAACAGGGCAGACTTGTTTGATGATTCACAAGGGAAATCCAAGGGTTTTTCATTACTAACTTTACTCGTTGACCAGGATGTAGAGCTGCGGTTTGCACAGACAGTCAGCTTGATATTCTTGGACCCAAGCCTGACAATACACCACACCTTCTGACCCCTGCAGTACCAGTCATCGAATGCTGGAACTTCTGTGGGCTGTGAATCATAGGGGAAAAGAGAGGGCGGTTATCCTAACACACACTGAAAAGCTGTCAGCTTGGGAGACTGTTGAATAAGGAAGTTCTGGGCATATTCTGCCCATGGGGAGGTAACGGGCCCAGTCAGCGGGGGCTGGAAGCACAAAGAAAACAAAGAGCTTTGGTGGTTTCCTGATCCACTTGGCCAAGCCATTAGTCTGTGGATGATAACTAGATGAAAGGCTCAATGAATCTGGATCTACCGGTGTGGAATGTTGTTTGACGAAAGTGACATCAACAAAGTAACCAGCAGCACCAGAATCTAACAGAGCAAAACTCTGTGCAGCACCTTCACCAAAGGTAAGTGTGACAGGAATGGTTATTTGTGCAAGTGCGACATTGTGATAGAGGCAGATGCGTCAACCTTAGCTGCTCTGTCTTGGTTCCAGGTAGGTCGGACTGGGCAGTGATTAATCACATGGCTGACTTCTCCGCCGTAAGGGCACAGGCGGTTCCATTGCTGGTGCTGTCTTTCTTCTGGCAGAAGGGGAGTATGTCCGAGTTGCATCAACTCTGTCTCCAATGAGTTACAAACAGGTGGGTCGGGTCAAGTGCTGTGCTAACAATTGATAAAAATGCTATCCAAACTGGAGAGTTGCAAGTCCTCCCCAAACACCTTCGCTTTACCACGGCAAACGAGTTCCACCTAAAGTTCCGGGTTAAGCGCTGTCCTCCACAGGATTTGTACGCAGGAGGCTGACCAACCTAACCTAGCAACCAGGTTCGGAATTCTAGGGTGAAATCAGTCTCCGACTTATTCCCTTGCCAAAGATCCCAAAGTCAATCACCTGGGCTGTGTCCTTCCGTGAATGCCTTCTGGAAAAGTGAAGGAGGAAGTTAACTGTGGGCTTTTTTTCCCCATCCACAAGGAAGATGCCCAATCTTTTGCTCTGCCAGTTAGCAATAAGAGAACAAAATGCACCCAATCTGCATTGGAAGGAAACAGATTGGGGTGGTGGTCAACATTTAAGCTGCATTGCATTAACTGGGGAGCTCAAGACAGGGAAGCACAATATACACCACTGACGAGAGGACCCCTTGGTGATCGATACAAGTGCTGTAATGAGAGGGAAGATTAAACAAGTAACAGGTGTGGCTCATTAGAGGTACACAACAGAGAGAACGAGGGGGAAGGAATGCAGGGCGTGACAAGAAGTCAGTCCTACAGAGAGATGGGACAAGGGAGTTACACAGGGCGATTCCGAGCGCAAAACAGGGAAGTGGAGCCGGGAGTGAGTAGGATCAGAGAAGTGGGAGACCTTGAGAGACAGAGAGGAACTGCTAGCAGGCGTCATAGAACCGGCAGCAGTACTTTACACCGAAACACTTACATAGGAGCAAGTGCAGGTAGAATCACTGACTGTCTGATTGCATGTGAACTGTAACACATTTTTAAAAATCATTTTCACAAAACCACCTTATTATGTCTGGAAATGTGGCCTATTATCATATTTGCAAAATTAAGAGCTTAATTCCTAATATATGTTAATGTAAAATGCAAAATTTGTCACTGGTGTTATTGATATTTTGTCATAATTTGTTTATTTTCAATTTATACTTCAATGCTGAAATATTCAATTCACAAAGGTTTGTTAATACAGTTTTTTTCATTTATGTATTTCATATTTATAAATATTATCTGTGTTTGTGCTGGTTTCTTTACGATATTTTTTTTTATTAGTAATTTTTTATGTCTATGCACTTTAATTTTTAATATGGTGTTATGTGCAATTGTCACGTCGGAACGGGGAAGCCGGCGAAACGAGCCGTGAAGAAGGGCAAACGGGGTTTATTGGTAGCGAAACAAACTCGGAACATGCAACGTCAATGACAGACCAGGGGAAACAGACTTGAACGCGGACTGAAATACACAAGACAAGTCGAAATAACAGGAAACAGGTGATCACAATCGGGGTAGTACGCATGGGTAATGAGGGGGCGTGGCACACACGAGCGCTGGACGCGCAGGTCATGACAGCAATAACATTTTTTATATTGTAATCATAATTTGTTTTATGTCACTTTATTCTTATACAGTTTTTATTTGGTGGTTTTGTTGTTTATAAAATAAAAGCTCAAAGACATGCAGTTATTCGGTTTGTGTGTGAGTGCATGAACACAATGATGACAGATGAAACTGGCAGTGACCCAAGAGGCAATAGTTAAAATCTTCCCTAGGGCAACAAATTGGTTATGGCTGGTCCTGCGTAACACAAGTCACATGCTGAAATTATGCAGAAAGAAGAATATCAATAAATTAGTTAAATAAAATGAGCAAGTATGGACTAACCTTCTCATTCTTTGAGATTCTTCCTCTACGATGGCTCTTGTCTCAGGGAAGCAGTTTAATAGAACAAAAAACACTATATTAAGTAATAATACCAGTGACAAAAATCTCTGTGATAGTTGTATTTTTTTTTTAAATAAATTACATATTTTATGTAATACAATGTTATTGATCTATATAGTAAAAATTGAACTCTTGAAGTCATAGCTTTTAAAAATATTGTTTTATATTAACAATGGCTTCTGAAATGTTGAAATTTGATTGTGTGATGAGTTGTTTTTGTGTGTACATAATAAAAACTGAAGAATCAAACAAATCACGTGGGAAATGTGTTATTTAGTTACACATCAATTGTACATGCTGATTCTTGGAGCCGTGTCTGATATTTTAAGCATGTTTTTAGGTCCTGTCACCACTGTGACATGGTTTCCCACTCCAGATGGAGAATGACCAAAATATGAGATTTTCATTGACGGTTCCCAAGTCTCTTCGAAGTTTTCAGTATGGTTTCAGTTTAAGGTTTTAATTTTCGAGTGATATTTAGTTTATGTGATGGTATTTACTACACTGCATGTTTTCCATTTTAAAAAAAAAGATAATTTTCTTGGCAAAAGTTAGTGCAATTAGTAAAGGCTGGGTATTTTTTGGATTGAAGATTAATTGCTTATTAGGAGTTGCATTTCTATTAGGAATCCAGGAATTATGAATCTTGTTGGAATCATACAATGTTGTACAGAAGTATGTCACTAGTGTGAAATCCTACAGGACCTTTTGACTGATAATACCCGCCCTTTGGGTACTTTTAAGCTTTTGCATGCGGGTATTTAAGTGGCAGGCACATGCGGGATGTCTGGATACAAACAAAGACTGCTCATGAATTTCCTTTCTTATGGTTCTCTCTGAGCAAAGAGTCATGTCACATTGTTTTAATCTGCCCTCTTTCAGTTCTCCTGTTTGCTATAATTACTATAAATAAAGATAATATAAAACACATTTGGAAACATGTGGTTTAATGTAATCTAGCTGTTTCGTAATGGAAAATAAAACAAAATGCACATGTAGCCCTGCTGGTTTTTATGAGGGAAAAACAGTATTGTTGTGGTTTGAGATTTTTTGGGAGGTCAACGTTTCACCCATATTTGTCAGAGAGCAGAGGGACTCTTCCTGGCTGTATAGTTAAGGCTTTTGGTGTTTTCATATGGCTGTTGGCAGATGAAATCAGTGTAAAGCCATTTGTAATGTCAGTTAAAGGCCCAAAACAAGCCTGAGCTTTTAGTAGGGAAGGAATAGTCACACTAGCTGGTCCACTGGTACCAGCAGGGACAGCAATGACATGGAAATCTAGTTGCAAACCCTTAGAAGCTCCTGGCTCTACAGGATCCATGCCATTCTGACTGCACAAGGAGTTTCAGGATTCTAAGCCCACTAGTGAGTCTGAAGATCTAAGCTGGGTTTGAGGTGATACATGCTCTTCAGTAGAGGTCCTGTGATCCCATGACGAAATGCTGTGTTTTGAGCTTACAGTGTGTATCTCCATATGTTTACATTCACAAATACACACAAATAGATGTCATTCCACAGTTGATTGACCATCCCATTTATTCCTCAATCAGTGCAGATCTGGAGGATAAACACATGTAAACAGATGAGATATCAGCGTCCACCTCAATCATTTTATTTGTCTGATTGGTGATTAAAGACCCATCATCAAGGTAGGTCCATGAAGCCAAAATAAACCCTGATAAATATCACAGTAATTGCAAACCCTGGAGGCCATTTCCACTCCTTCTGTTCTGCATCCAAGAACCAGGCAGCTGTTTAAAAGCAGTCCTGAGACAAAAAAAAATCAAAAGCCTCATTGTTTCTCAAAGTTTTTATCGCCGTTCAGAGACGCTAGTTATTTTGCCAGAAAGCATTCCAACTAAAACAAAGACTACAACATTTATCCTCTAAATGAATTAGCACTCTGGTACACAGTAACTGAGCAGAACTCAATGTGTCAGTAATGAAAACATCAAACAAAGAGAAGACAGACATACTTTTTATTACAAAAGAAAGGAAACTGGAAATGGATTATTTTTTATTTAGGTTTAAGAAGATGAAAGTAAGGTAATTAGAAAGTGGATTAGACAGATATTGTCTCTCTCTTTCCAAAATAAGCTAAGAGTTTTCTTTGATGAGTTATTTTGGAAGATTTTTGTGTTGGTTTTTAAAACCAAATTATGTCACAAGTAAGATTGGCTTTGCCCCTTACTGTGTAAGGGGTGCTTGTCTTGATTAAATCCTTACAGCATGGTGGTGGGGGGGGGGGGCATTTCACTTCTGTTGGCCAAATCCCACTCATTCTCAGATGAGACACTTGTTCATCTCCATCTCTGGCCTGTGTTGGTTTTGTTTCACCGTGGTTTAATCAGAGTTGACTCCGTGGTTATAGATTTTACATTCGTTACACATGTAATGCATTCATGAATCATTATAGACATGGATAAAAATATTTTGAAAAAGGGACAACAAATTGTAGCCATGTGTATTATGCATTATGAATGCATTATGATGCTCTCATGTATAATACACTATATATACCTTCGTAATGCAATATAAAGCATCTTTAATTCTTACATCGACCCTTATAATGCATTATGAAGGTACCTATAGTGCGTTATAGATGATGGCTTCACTGGAGCTTATGAAGTATTATAATTAGCACTATAGTGCCTTATGACTGCCAATAGAAGATGTTGCAATGCTTTATTAATTCTTATCCTGACCATTATAATGCATTGTGAAGGTATCTATATGGCATTATGGGTGACAGCTTTAAGTTAAGTGTTACCATCCTGACACATCTGCGGTTGCTAGTCACATGTGTTCTGTTTTCATTTGTTCATATTTTGACTTCTTTCTCTCTTTGTCCTTTTCATCTTCCCCTTCTCAGGTTTTCAGCAGCAGATGAGATACCAGCCTGACAGTACAGTCTGTGCAGACCTGCGTCGTGTGGCTTGGGGCTGCTGTCTCTGGCCGCCGCCCGCAGAGGGAGAGGCTGGCATGGTGGGGCAAGGAACCCGATAATTATGACTGTCGGCTTTGACAGGAGCCAAGGAGAACTTCCATGGATGCTGACATGGTCCCGCCAGCACGAGCGAGTGATTAGAGAAGAGGCCGCTGTAGGGCAGATGGGTCACTCATCGCCCTCCGCGTGAGTCAGCTCTCCTGAGCCTAAACCACTCTTCTCCATTACCTGCGAGACACCGACTCTCCACTTCCTGTTCCTCATAGACAACAATACTGTATCAGGGTGTTCATTTGGTTTGGATTTATGCTAACATATTATATACAGAACATTTAAAGGTAATATTGTGTTGAAACAATATGCACATGCAACAGTTTTTGTTATGATTTATTATGATCCCCATCTGTTCTAGATCAGAAATATAAAACCTGAAAAGATCCAATACATTAATGCTAGATAACAGAATTACAGTACAGAGAGAATTAATGCCGAAATCCTGTACAGAGAGAAATGTATTGTGTGTCTGTATACGTCTGTGTGTCCTTTGATTTGTGTGTGTGTGTGTGTGTGTCTGGGTGTGTGAGAGACACAGAGGAGTAACATGATCACGTATGATGAGTGTCTTCCAACAAAGGAGTGTTTATGCTGCAGATGAGGGCGCATTTCTCCCAGTGACACACTGGAATGTCCTCTTGCTCAACCGCCTTGCTCCTCAGGGAATGATGGCTGGCTGGGCCCCCTGGCACTGCTGCGCCCGCAGTGCTTAATGCCGTTTCACACCTGAAGCTTTATGGCATTGGGGGCGGGGGCGGACTTGGCCTGCCGTCAGAAGTCTTGCGGCTTGAAGTTTACAAAGCTCAGGGAGTGGTTTGAGGGCTCCAGCGTGATATGCCAGGAGAATCACAGCCCTCTTCAGCTTGTCAGAAGGAAAAATATGGCCTTAAATTACTATGCCTTAAAATAAGATATATATATATATACAGGGGGTCGGTTAGGCAGAATAATGGAAACAAGAAACAATATATTGATATAAAGGTCATCAGAAGATCAGAAGAAGCAGAACCACCCTTTGGCTTCATTAGAGCTGGAGTCCCTCGTGGAATGCCGCCAGAGAAGCCCCGAACTGCGTGTAGTGGGACATTGGACCAGCCTTCAAGAACGAAAGCCTCCAGGTCTTTGAGGGATAAAGGATGTAGAGCTCCGCTGTTCAGTTTGTGCTTGTGAACCTCCCATAAAACTTCAGTGATTTTTGGATCTCATGACCTGGGAGGCCATGGAATTTGGTGTCTGACTTGATGGTTTCGTGACTCTTCAGTTTATTAATATATTGTTACTCTTCATTTCTGCCATTGTCATGTTTACATTTGTTTTTATTAATATGCTGTCACATCTCCGCGCAATATGCTACAATTTGCCACTGTAAATATCAGAACTGGGCACTGGTTGGCGCCACGTTGTCTTCGTTTGTGCCAGTCTGGCCTTATTTCACTGTCCTGCAAGGGCCGCGTGTTGGCACACACACGCACTTCATGTCGTTCTGTTTGGCTTTGTAGTTCTGTGCTGTTTTTTGTAGCACCATGGTCCTGGAGGAATGTTGTTTCATTTCACTCTGTACCGTACCGACTGTATATGGTTGAAATAACAATAAAAAGCCAATAGAGTTGATGTGATTTGATTTGACTCTTGAGTTTCTTTAGTGGTATGCAGGGGTGTATTACCAACTAGGAATAAGTGAAGATCATAGGGAAATATTGTTTGCACCGTAAGGTGCGCCTGGTCCTTTAAGATGGCCTCATATTCTTTGGTTATTAAACTACTTGACAATGAAATCATTGGACATGATGATTCCTGCAAGATGGCCGCCCATACCAACAGACATTGTGGATTGAAGGCGTCGTTTCACTTTCTCCAAACATAAACCCAACCGAAGAAAGAAAGACTGAATTATCTCAATAGTTTCCTAAATGGTAGTCCATCCATAAATTCCAGATTTGTGAAGCTCACGACACTCAGTTTGTCTTGACGCAATTGTTGTTAGTTCAGTTCTGTGGTAATTTTTGTGGCTGTATATTTATGGTGTTCAGCAACTAACCAGTTAAGGGTCTGTCTATCCCCACTGGTGAGCTTCACCATTTCTCATTGTCCATGCAATTTGACACATGCTGTCATGATATGTGACACTCTGCCACTTGACACATTAAACAATTTGGAGTTTTTGAGACCAGTGCTACAGTTTGGGTGCTGACTGTTTGGTATCTTTGTAGTCTGCTAGTTGCTACATTTTGCATTGAAAAATTGCAAGTACTGATTTTCAACAGGGTTAACCAGAGATTTTGGGCCCCATGAAAGCATATCATATTGGGCCCCCAACACAAACTAAACATTTTTGTAATCGTCCATAATCACCCCCCCCCCCAGCACCCATGATTATCAGACCCCGTTCCTCTTTTGTAGCTGACACATACTGCTAATTTGCATTCAGCCTAACCTAATAGCTGGAATTGTTATTCTGATTTAACTACAGCTAAGTTAAAATACTTTTTCATGTGGTACTTCGGTTGTTTTCTGTCGTGTAACCCTGTGACAGCGGTTGGTCCACAAATGGGTCACAGGCTAGTTTAGAAACTTCGATGGTGAAGGACGAAGTGTTCCACCAGTAGGGCGCGCCATTTACCCTGTGGCTGCCTGTCTGTGGCCGCGGAGCGAACTAAATGAAAGTTACGCGCTCCTTGCAACTTGGGTTCAGACACCTTCGTCTCGCTTGCGGTATTTATTAAAAACTTCTCAAGGACTCTTTTACAGGACTATTCATGCTGGTTTGGAGGCTCTGCTTCTCCTTCGACATTGGAATAATGTAGTCTTCGCAGCCAAACGGCCGCTATATGATGGGTCAGTGCAGCAGCGTTTAAATTAATAAGAAAACCAGCACTGTTGTAAGAAACAATGGGCAAGCTCAATTCGAAACACGGTAAGAACCGGAGTCTGCGACCCAGTAATAAATTGCATCCTAAAACTACATGCTCAGCATTTTAAAAATTGGAAATTTCTTTGGAATAATTGTTTTTTTATGTTATTCTTTTTTATGAACCACTGGGATAAATAAGCCTGCAAACGCAGGGAAAACCCCGAAGGTGAGAATTATTGAATTGTTACTAACTTAAGAAGCGTATTTGACAGAAAGGCAGTTGGTGTTACAAGCGGATCACTGCTTCTTTCCAGGGGACAGTTTCGTTGCGGGCGCGTCGGCGTCCCGGAGAGGCGAGGAGGACAGCGAGGGGCGCAGAGTCAGAGACAAGCAGGTAAGACGGCGGTGCCACCGGCCGCGTCACTGTATGAGGGGATGCGCGGCGACACTGTCTGCCTAAAAACAGACCTTGTGTAAGTGACTGTGGTTTTGACAATTATTACACATTAATATTACGTGAGATTTTTTTTACTACATACCTGACTATTTTAAATTCTGATTTTTTAAAGTCCTTATTTGACATTTGAAAATGTCCTTATTTTGTCCGCATCCAGTCGTGTTATCGTGTGCATATTTATAATTTATGTTTCATATGCAGTCGTTTTTTTATTGTTTTTTTGCCTTCTTTCCTGCGTTTCTTACGAATGTATTTCGTGTAAGTTTTGAACGAGGTTCGCATTTTTTATTTTCCGCAAGTAGGCCTATAATATCCACCGAACAGTCATCTTGGGTATTTCGTTGTTTTTTTGTGTGTGTGTGGATTTTTTGCTGTCTGCGTAATTGAGATTATCATCCATATTATGAAAAGGCAAATTGTAAAAAATATAACTATACATTGTAATCCTAATAGTAAAGATTGTTAAAATATTAATAATTAAATACAAAACCGCACCCCGTATATGGGATGTGTTTCCACGTGGTTCAGTGATCGCCTACCTAATGAAAATCATTTTGTGGCATACTATGTTATTAATAGTTATACATGCAGTGCAATTATGTAATGAGTTAGGTCAGGGGTCACCAACATGGTGCCCTTGGGCACCAGGATGCCCCCAAGGTCCACATGAGTCGCCCGCGGACCTGTTCTAAAAATAGCACAACTCACCAGTGAGCAGCGTCTAAAATTTTATTTTATCCTGTTGCTGTTCTTCTTTAATCACATTTGCATTTATATAGATTTGAAAAATGACAATATCTTTAAAAAAAGCATTTAAAACATGTTTATTATACATGAAGTTTAGATAAGTTTAGGAGGGTGTTTCAGACTGGCGGCCTTTGCTATGGCTCAGTACCCGTGAAGTAGCTCTCAGTTTCAAAAAGGTTGGTGACCCCTGAATTAGGCTGTATATTTTATGGCTTTGGTGGAAAGCAAAACAAGTTGAACAAGTTCTTTTTTTAAAAAAAGGAAAACGACTTGTCTATGAGAACATATGAAAATGACAAGCCTGTTTGTTAGATGTGCTGTGTGTGAACCAATCCATTTTCCCTCTTAAAAATAGCACCTTTTGAAAATCTAGGAGGTTCTCTATATCTCTTTATGTAAGTTTGGACCCGCTGTAAGTCCATTCTGCCTACTTGTGGATGTTAATCCAAAAAAAGCAAAATAGCAATAGTTCATGGCAAGCTTTCATCAGACACACACAAAAAGCACTTTCAATGCAAATGTTGTCAGGGATTGTGAATGAGATTGTGATTTTCTCTGTGCTGGAACAGATAACATAATGATTTTCAAGACCCAGAAGTGTTATCCTAAAATAGGGCTGAGAATTGTTTTCCTCTCTCCTAAAAATACATAATTCTATCCAAGGACAGTTGTGCATTGAGCTAAATGAGTACTGGGTGGGGTAGAAGCTGTGAGCTGGTGTGCCGAAGCACCCGGGTCAGAGCCTCTCTTTGCCCAGATCGATGGGCATGATATGGCTCAGTGGGTTAGCACTCTGTGCTCATGGTCAGAAGGTTTTCAGTTTGAATCCCTTGGCTGGCAGCATGATTTTACTGCTACACTTCGGGGTGCTGTGTGGTTTAATACTATAGGACACTACAGCTGTGATTGGATGGTTGTAGGTTCAAATCCCACAGTCCGTGGAATGTTTTCACTATTTGGTCCTTGAGCAAGGCCCTTAACTCCCAATTGCCCAGGGATTGTCTGACACTGCTCTCACAAATGTCCATCGCTTTGGAGAAAAGCATGTGCTAAAAACATTTTTTTTTTAAGTTGGGGGGTGCCTTGATTGGGATTTGGATTCAACCTGCTGAATTTCCTGGGCTGGGGATAATCTTGTAAATGAGGCTTCGGGGAATGGAAGGATGGAAATGTCACTGAGGCCAGTCTGCTCTTGACAGTCTGTCCCTACAGCTGTCACACAGGGGACTTGCGTGGACTGCACTTCCCAGCTCACACTCAGCTGGCCCCCCTCACCCTGCCAGGCATCACCCCCGCCTTTCTCTGGCGGCGGAAGTAGAGGTTCATGGATTTCTGGTTCAAGTTACTTGGCATTTGAAGGTCTGGAGTGAAGACTATCCCACGTCCCATTAGTTCCTGCTTTTGTTTCTCGGCTGGGTTTAGACCTCAAGGGGGGTTGGGACATTGGTGGTGGTGGCAGCAGGGGAGGGTTCTGTGATTTGGGCCCCAGGCCAAAAACCTCCTACGAAAATGCTTGTAAACCAGGATAATGACAGGATAACTAGGTGATTAAAACAGTCATTTAAGAGGTAGAGATTTAATCAGAACCAGAGTGATAGAATCTCTTTTTATAGACCTGGGTGGGGGGGGGTGGTTGAGGTGATGGTCTGTATGGGCGTAGTGAGGAAGGGGTGTCCAAGGGGCTCAGAGGTTTCTGGAGGTATTTGACTGAGAGGGTCAGTGCGGTGCCACAGCCCAGACACACTGCAAGCAGCGGTGCGATGCACACACCCAACTGAACCGGCGTCAAGGGGGAATCTGCCCTATTTGCACTTTTCTTTTAAACTTTTTGTGAAACTGGTGGATATTTACAGTCCTATTGTACATGGTCTGTTTCATAATGTTAACTTGGCATGTGCAAATTAATGCCATTATTGTTTTTCCGCTATTCCTCTTATGCTAATATATTACCTAAAAAAGATCTTCCAAGACTCTCTGCATGTTTTGTAACAAAAAACAAATGTGTTTTACAACTCACAGGGAAAGGGGTGATTACAAAAACATATTGGCAGTAATATTAGAACAGGAAAGGTTTTATTCTGACAGTACAGAGATTTTCTCCCCTAGGCTGTGGCAGTAAATGATGGATTGAAAGTGGCAGAGATCTGTATTGACCCATGCATTAAACACAATGAATAATTTAGTTTCTTTCGACTCAGTGGGTTGCAAAAATGTTTCTGAATGATTTTATATTCTAAGCCAGTCCTTTGTAACAGCCTTGCAGTAATATCAATTAGAAAAAACATAATCCAAGAATAAAAATACTTGTATTTGCAGTCATTGGACTGTTTGGATTAGTTGGACTGGCTTGTACTTATGTGTCAACATATGTTGCAAATTAAGACTTGATGTCAAAAAAAATGTTTAAAATTGTTGATTAAAGGTGATAGGCCTAAATTACAGTTATTCAAATGATGTCATTCCGATCTTAAATATGTTTTTATGAAGCATAGTTTGGTAACACTTTAGTTACACAGTTACTACTAAAGTGCAAATCGTGGACAAATATAGTAACTGCATGAAATTAAGAACTGTCATAATTGATTAATGAAGAACAAACATGGGATCAGTATTTAACTAACATTTTGTCCCTGGTTAAAAAATACATTAAGTAAGAGTGTAGTACTGCATTATTTTTGTACCGTCATGTAAAATATAACCACAAAGTTCTCCTAAAGCGATCGTTGTACCATAACTACAGGGCCCCTGTGCATCTCGTATACGCTGCTCTCTGTCACACTTTATGTGGCTTAGCCACACAGCATGGCCCAGGGGCGCCTTGGACAGTGCAAGCGTCTGGTAACCTGCAGACATGCAGCAGGTTTTCAGGCACTTAGTCAGCTAAGATGCCCCAGCCAGCTCCGGTCACGTCTTGCACAGGCACTGCAGTCCCTGTCGTGTGCATAGCTGTCATCTAATGACGTAGCATCAGCTTAAACCTCTGTCTGCCTCTCCTGCTTAACCTGCCAGAGGTATGTACATCTTTACTCACTGAACAACCTGACAGCTCTTCCTATGATGACATTTTTAATGAAATTCTAAACCAGCTGCAGCTCATAAAGACTGATAGATGACTTATTTTCTGGCAAAAGGCAGGATCTTCACTAGTTCTTTTAGTTGCCTTGATAGGTTTCCAGGGTTTCTATAATTATTCTGTATGAGTATTCATGTATTACGCACCAAAGACTTTCTAGGAAAGCTGCGAGATTGTAACTTTTGCATGCATTTTTCTGATGTCTCATGTTTTTAAGAACTCTCCATTTCACAACATGGAAAATTCCTCTCAAAACACTTCTATGAAATCAAGCCCTGTATACGAGATCAGATAGCAGAAGATGCAACTGTTTTATGAAACAAGGCAGTGTAATCTTGTGCCAAAGCAGTTAGAGTAACATGAATTATTCTACTGAACGTCTAAGACCTTTGTTGAAGGCAAAAAAAAGCCTTCAACCTCTGCAGGTATGTTGGTGAATAGCCCTTTTCTTTGCCCAAGGTTCAGTTATCAGGTAAGATCTGCTGGTCACCAAAGCCAGTTTGTCTCTGAGACATAAAAATGGCTTCTGTTTGGCTGCTAGGCGATTTTTCATTTATTTCAGGTCACTTGTTCATAGTCACATTCTCAGTTGTAGACCTGGTTTGGTCTTCATTGATCGCTGCTCACACGATCCTGCATCTGTACCTTAAAAAGGACATTGCTGCCTTGGAAAGGGAGCAACGTAGGGCTACAAGAATGATTCCTGGTCTTAGAGGAATGTCTTACAGTATGAGGAGAGGTTAGCTGAGCTGAATCTGTTCAGCCTCGAGCAAAGGAGACTAAGGGGGGACATGATCCAGGTATATAAGATTCTAACAGGTCTGGATGCTGTTCAGCCAAATGGCTATTTCAATATTAGTTTAAATACTAGAACTCGTGGCCATAAGTGGAAATTAGTGGGAGAACATTTTAAAATGTGTAGTTAGAGTATGGAATAGTCTTCCTGCTAGTGTAGCACAAGCTAAAACCCTGGGTTCCTTTAAATCAGAGCTAGATAAGATTTTAACAAGTCTGAGCTATTAGCTAAGTTTTCCCCAAACGAGTTTGATGAGCCGAATGGTCTCCTCTCGTTTGTAAATTTCTTATGTTCTTATGTTCTAGGTTTGGAAGCCTGCAG